TTACCTATGAGGATTCTATGGGAGACAGTGTGAAAAGCCTTGCTGACGTCAAGGTAGACAACATCTACTGCTCCCCTCATGCACCCAGAATCGGATACCAGATGCTTTAGTTCATTTCTGGCAAGCTCAAAGAATGGCTGTAGACGTGGTACTAAAGCTAAAGCAGAACTGGTCTTTATTTGGTAATATCAACAAGGCCCTCTTGAAACTAAGATCCCTCAATGCAATGTTTGTATGTTTGGTTAACAAGAGAAGAGTGAAGAAAAGGAGGAAATGATAACATGATGTGTCTGATGAACAGTTTTACAATGGTGGAGAAGAGGGAGATGTTATATGCAGCACTGACTCTTGACCTGCTTCATACCAACTTTCAGGATTCACCAAATGTTAACGGAAGATTATGCTAACTGTTTCAAAAGGCAATGATGAGAAAAGCTTCTTGTCTTGATGCAGTAGGGACTACTACCTCCACAGCTGGATTGTAGATAAATGCATCTATGTAGCCCTTTAGCAAGTTTGATCAAAGGAAGTAATGGGTGTTCAGTGTTTTTGGAAATGTTGCTTTCATTACAATGGCATTTATAATGTCCATCTTAAAACAAGAGAAAAAGAAAATGGGTCTTCTTTATGCACTTCTGTTGCTGTGTTTATACTTGGCCACCTTTAAATTTGTTTATTGTTATTTAATGATTAATGTTCATCCAACATGTGAATAACATATAATACCCACTCCTGTTGCACTCTTTTAACGCTTTTTTTCGTATTGGTTCCTAATTTCTGTTAGAGATTGGTTTGAAAATGCCAGCAATATCAACTGCAGTTTTACAAGGACAAAAAATCAAAGCATGTCTGTCTTTGTTAATGCTGAAAGTTACTGTGGGAGGGTTGAATGAGAAGTATCCAGTGGGATTATTTTCTTCAAGGAGACCAACCTAAACTTCAACATAATTTGGGTACTCCCATGATAATGAAAAATCAGTGGTGTGTGAAAGAGAGATACTGAAATCTTAGGGGGACAGGCATTTTGTGAAGGAAAAGCAAAATGTGTAACATGGAAAATGCTGAAGATCATAGAGAATAATTCCCATTGCTAATAATCACAATTCCGTACGAAAAACAAGAGAGGTATCAGCCATTTTCTTCTTATAATCTTCATCAAATTTCTTATTCTGTGCCACAGTAAAATGATTCTTCCAGTCCCCGACAGCCCCTGGGAAACAGCAAAGCAAAAAAAAGAAAAAAAGATAAATTTCCTATTATTTCCCAAAGCCTATTAGCCATGACTCACTACGTACTTGTACTTGAAGGCTTGTTTCAAAACAGAATGACAACCAGGAAGACAGAGTTGATGCCAGTAACAAACCTCAGTACCTTTTCTCATGAATGGGGAAATGGAGTGATCCATTATTGCCTGAAACTCCCTAGTGTAGTTTGCCATGGGATTTTCCTTCATTATCTCAAATGAGGTGTTGTGGACTATCTTGTTTAGAACCTCCTGATTCACGTCCTTCTCTAGGAACTTCAGAATCTTCTGAATTTCTTGCTCTGGATTCTGCAGAGAGAATAGCATGGGGTAAGATACAGAGCTAGGGAAAGCAAAGAAGTCAAAACGTAGTGTTAAAGTTGCAGTTGTCATCGGGGTGAGATGATTAGGTTATCTGAAGATTTACTGATACAGCCGGCATTATAATAGAAAAGTGTTGATTGTAGATAATATCTACTGGGCCCCACAGTTCAAGAAGGACAGGGAACTGCTTGAGAGAGTACAGCACAGAGCCACCAAGATGATTAAGGGAGTGGAGCATCTCCCTTATGAGGAAAGGCTGAGGGAGCTGGGTCTCTTTAGCCTGGAGGAGACTGAGGGAAGACCTAATTAATGTTTACAAATATGTTAAGGGTGAATGTCATGAGGATGGAGCCAGGCTCTTCTCAGTGATGCCCAATAGTAGGACAAGGGGCAATGGGTGTAAGCTGGAACACAGGAGGTTCCGCTTAAACTTGAGAAAAAACTACTTTACGGTGAGGTTGACAGAGCACTGGAACAGGCTGCCCAGGGAGGTTGTGGAGTCTCCTTCTCTGGAGACATTCAAGACCCACCTGGACACCTTCCTATGTAATTTCATTTAGGTTCCTGCTTTGGCAGAGGGATTGGACTAGATGATCTTTTGAGGTCCCTTCCAATCCCCAACATTCTGTGTGATTCTGTGATTTCAGAGCTCTATAAACATACATTCAGCCTTTTACCTCCTTCATATCTTCATAGAAGAGGTAGAGAATACGGTGCTTGTCTTTTGCCTTCCACCATCCTTTTACGTGGTCATACCAGGAACCCCAGAGTACTGAAAAAGGAGTAACATCATCATCAGCTGTAAATGCCCAAACTGTCTGTAAGTATCTGTGGCACTCACATTTCCCTCACAACTGGTGTCTGGGCACTTCTCCACTGGTTTTGAATTGCTGTGGCCAGGACTGCAGTACTCTGTGCTTACCACAGCATTTGTGCTATTAGTTTCTCAGGCGTATGGATGCTCAGAGCAGGATTCATGTGTAACTTTAGAAGGCAGCAAGTGCAGATGCTTACCCCTCAATGAAAAATTCATGTGGTTGATGGAGAGAAACAGGCATCTCCAGAGCAATTCACCTGATGAGCTGTACATGACTGGTCTTAATTGGCCCTGCTTTGAACAGGAGCTTGGACCAGATGGACACCAAAGGTCCCTTCCAACTTGCATTATTCTGTGATTCTAACTAGCTTAAATATTTGTTTTACTATCAGAAGTGCCTGTTTCTCTCCAGCAAGTATCAAGATGGCTAGCTTGGACAGAGGTAACTATGTTCTAGATGTCTGCACTGGGACAGCTAGCTCCCAAGATGAGCTGGGCAAACACAAAAGACAAGTTCTCCTTTAGACATGAGACTAAAGGAGACTGTCTGGACCATGAGACTGTCTCATGGTCCAGACAGTGGTGTTTGTAGGCCTACATGGTAGCAAAAATATAAAGGACCTATGGAAGCTTTGCTGACCAAAATTGCAGGCTGCTATCCACTTGAGCAGCTTTTCTTTGTTGCATATGAACAACTTTTTAGAAAGGGAAGAATTAACTTCTGGGGTTGCCTGTCTTTAGCTAGATAACTGGATTTGTTCATTTGCCTGATTCTTATACAGATTAATTTAGGGAAAAAGACTCCCTTAACTCAAATTCACACCACACATTTCTACACAAAATTGAACCTTGGTTTCTTGTATATCAGGGTAGAGTAAAACCAATTAAACCACTGTTCCTTCCCAGCTGGCTTCCAAGCAGGTTTCTTTTAACCTCAGAGAGAAGAGATTAAGCCTGAAAATTGTCACATTTCTGAATAACAACAGAGTAAAGAGCAGTTTTTTTTTTTGTTTGTTTTTTTTTTGTTTTTTTTTCAAAATGGGAAGGTAAAGATAGAATTAATCCTTTAGGTACTAATAAAAACCCGTGAATGAAGATAAATTACTACTGACACACCTTCAGTAGATATCCTTCCCTAGAGTGTCAGCACTGGATTTCAAACCATAGCTGAAATAAACATAACAATGTCATGTGTTTTTTAAATGAACAGAATCTCTTATACAACTGATTGCAGTTCATCACCTTTTCCGGTCATGAATTTCTCGATGAACTCCTCCCAGGTTCCTGGGTCAGGCAGTGCTTTATTCATCCTGTGGAAATGGTAGTATGACACCAGGTTGTCTTTTGCATTTCTTGCCACATAGATTACCTTTATTGATATGAAAAGAGAGAGAGAAATTAAGGGAGCCTGATGACAGAGACTTAGATTTTGCTTTGAAGCTGCTGTTTTCCGAAATCCAACTCAGCTAACTTGGTCAAGGCTTCCTTAGTTTCACACAGGCTTTGCACATTAAAGGGAAAATATCTGGGGAGATCTTTAGGTTTCACAAAGGTTCTGGAAACCGTATTCAGTCCTGTTTTATGTCACTTTCTTTGCAGGTGAAGTAGAATTGAGTCCTACCTCTTCAGCCTTACCTTACAGTTTTGTTTCCAGAAGGAGGGAGGCACCAGCTGCACAGGGAGATGAGTTTTTATTGTTCGTGGAGAAGGCATAGCTTCAGCTAACTCCAGCCCTGTGGGGTGTTTCATTGTGAGATGTGACTTGTTCTCTAAATTGCACTAGCACTTCTTTGCTATTCTTGTATGTGTGATTTTGACTGTGACTTTTCAGTAGTTCACCTTGCAATGATCATTCATCTCCAAAGCAATTACGTAGCAGTGTAATAGATACAACATTGCATAAGCACCTTCAGTGTTTCTAGAGAAATTTTTACCTATGTATTCAAGATAGAAAGGAGAAACACTGATTCCTATCATCTTCTTGATTTCTTGGGCCCAGGTCTAACACCTGCATTCCAAGGGATAATGGTGAATACTAATTTACGTTTACCCAACCAAGGTTTTTCCTTTGCAATATTTAGTGATCTCCTTTCACTTTGCAGGTAAGAATTTTTTGTTTCTTTCTAGAATATAAGAATAGACTGGCTACTAGACTTTCTGTATTGCATGTAAAGAGAAACTAGAAGAATGATGGACAATGGATTTTGAGTAGCTACGGATATGTGGGAATACTTGGGAATATCTGGTGATATGTGGAGATGTGTTATCCCCCCCACACACTCCTTTTTAAACACCATCATGACCTCTATCTTTTTTTTTCTTATCATCATCTATCATGCTCTGCCATCATCTATCATTTTTTTGTTTCTCTCTGTGTCAATGCAGTCTATCTCAGAAGATAAAAAGTAGCACTTCTGCTGCAGAGTTGGTCAAGCTTTTTAACTTCAAATATGAAGAAACTCTGGCTTAAAGATTTGTGTGGAACAGGAGCCTTTGCTGGGGGAAGACTCTTGTAGGAAACTGTCTTTGCAAAACAGTCAGGCCTGCTGGTTGCCTGAATGTCCCATAGCTTGTTTAGATAACCAGAGCTTAGAATTTAACAGCAGTTACTCAAAACAGCAGCAAAAACACTGAAAACATTATCCACCTTTTGGGAATACATCCATGACAGGTTTCTCTTCCATACAGCCCCTAATCAGAGAACGAGATTCAGTTGTCCCCATGTTGCCATTTAATGCACATCTGCTGGTGTTTTAGGTACTGTAGAGTATCACACACAGCTTTCAGATGCCATTCCAGAAAAAGCCTGGTCTGCAGTAGCACTTGAGTCACGTCTACCAGCCTTGCTTCAGTTTGAGTAGCACCAGATATTTATGTTAAAGCAACTGAAATGTTCCCTAATACTCAACACAGTGTGTAGTTCAGTGACAGTGTAAGTCGGATGTTTCCCAGGAAACCTATTGCATCAGCACTGATGCTTGTTTTCTTTCATTTTGTCTAAAATACAAACTTATTTGTATAATACTCACCTGAGTAAGGTGTAGATAAAGGATCTTCAATAAACCACTCAAGGAAAGGATGACGTTTGGCAATGGTGGCACGTCTACACTTCTCAACGTCTCCATTTTGTTGAATCATATCCACTGTCTCCTGTGTCCATGTGGTACCTGCAAATGTCAGTGTTTAGAGGTTTCCCTCAGGGATAGCCAAGAGTCTCTTCTCCTGGGGAAGTGAAAGCCAGAAGGATGGGCTTCATATTAGAGGAGGAAGGAACAGCACAGAAGATGATAGACAAAGTAGAAAGAGAGGATAATGGAGGAAAAATGCATAATTAGGAATACAAAGGTAATTCCCAAAGCATAGTTTCAGGGGTTCTATTTTAGACAGGCTTCTTGCCAACAGAAATAGCCTCCACCCCCATGCCAGTGACGAAAAAAGCTCTGGGATAAACTCAGTATTGTTTGGAGATTGTATTATTTGCAAAGAGGAATGAAGTTCCCTCCTCCCAATTTTAACACCTCACAAAAATTCAGGTATTTCAACATTTGTTTTCTTCCTGAGTTTGAATAAAAAAATTAAATACCTGAACTTTTGAGTGAGCAAAAATTTCATAAAGTTTGGAAATGTAAAAAAGTTGCAGTATTTTCAACATTCCCATTTGAAATGCTTTAATGAAAGTCAGTACGATACTACATCTGCCTGAGCAGTGTCTCTCATGTGCCTCATTTCAATTATAGCCATGTTCACCAGTTAGCCACATCTCTTCCAAGGAACTGTGGCAGGTCAGCTAGAGAACAGGCCAAAGGATAACTTGGAAAGCAATGTGGGCAGGAAACTCATCCCTTCTTGAGATGCTTAGATTGCGCATCTCTCGCAGATACAACATAATGTCAAATGGACTCCTAACTTTATTTCTTTTTGGTTCAATAGCTGAGAGGTTTTAATCCAGGCTGAATAAAATAATGTGGTTTTGCTTCAGTATACAGGAAATAAATTAAAAGCTTTCAGGGTTTAAAAAATAATGTGGTTTTTTTTTTTTTTTTGTAATAATGCTTTTTCCCCTGCTGAAAAAAAATACTTTAAAATTCTTGCTAATTCAAGTCATTGTTTTTTAGTGATCATCAAATATTCCCCAATCTATTCCTGAATCCCCTAAACTGTATATGTTTTTATTCATCTATGATTAATATTGATGCTTGTTATTGAGTGTTTTCCTGTATAGTAAGTATAAAGGATCTGATCAAGAGGAGAAATAGTTGTGAGCTAAGTGGCCAATCACTGAATAAAATACCAGATAGCTAATATTAATTGTGGATATTTTATTTTAATGGCTGAAATTATTAAGTGCATTTGGTTATTTCCTTAAAATAATTAACCTATTTCCAGAAATCAGTGCTGTTTTACACACATAGTCATTCTCTAAATACATGATACAGCCCATAGTTGTTCAGTCAGTTTCTATTTTTTCTTAGTAATGATGATTTTTTACTAGACTTTGTTAAATCATTACCTTTTGGTGGAAAACTAATGTTGTTGCTATTTATAAATATATAATATCTAAATCAAAGAAAGCATTTAGGCATAGGTAGTTAGACTTTGACCATTTGAACTTCAATAATAATAGATGGTTGTTACTTCTGACAAAGAACTCAGAAGTTACTAGTCACAGCTGACAGAGCTTCACGTCTGGTTTGGGATTAAACAAATACCAGTCACACTAGAAAAACATAATTTTAAATTCCAACAATAAGCACTATCCCAAACTTTTCTGTTTCCTACCCACACCAACCTGCTTTTGCATAGGTTGCGATGAGCAGATCATCAGGTCTGGCTTGGAAGTTCCACACTTGGTCCCATATGCTGCATATTGATTTTGTGAGGGTAACACCTTCCACTTCACCTGTCTCAGATCGGAGCACCATCTGTTGCAGACTCAAATCTTCCATTTTATCCAGGGCCATTGATCACTGTGTGAAGGAAGAAAAATAAGCTTGCAATTAACATGGTTGCTCTGAAAAAAATCTAAATTTACTCATCCATTCTTGAGATCTCTTTTACTGACTGAATTCCATATCCTCTGATTTCTTTGGCTATGACTTGGTCTATCTGGATCCATATATAGGCCCTTTAAAGCTGGATCTGATTTTCAGAAATCCTTGGTATGTTACTGTTGGTGGTTCTCAGCATTTCAAAAAATCACACTGTTTACTCAGATACAAAAAGGTTAAAAAAGCCATTATTCCCCTCTTTAAACATTTTACCAAAGTTTTATGTAAAATTGTGACTGTAAGTATGTTGCATTTGAAAGGCAAGAAAAGGCAATCAGAGGTGTGATTCGAAAGAAGGCAGAGCACAAGAGCTCCCACTGAAGTCAGTGTGCAGGACCCAACCCTTCCTTCATAAAGAAAATAAACAGAAACACCTGCTAATGCCCTTTGGGTCTCATACTCACAAAAATATTTGCAGAGCTTTTCAGTGTTTTGTTCCTGGACCTTTTCACTGTTAGAGCTCTTTGCTGTATATGGAAATTTCTTGCAGGTAGATAAACTGAACTAGATAGATCATTAACCACAGGTTGTTAGATTTTAGTTATTTAAATCAATCTAGTTAAGTCTACTGCCTATTGTGCAGTTTTACAGTAACTAGTTATTGATTTCTGGATATCTCTCAAAGAGGCTTCTTCTTAGCCATACACTTTAGAGCTCCAGAATCTGGTTCGAGGAAAGTTCTGCCTAAGGGCAGGCTACAGAAATCACTCAGTTAAAAATATTAGCCAGAAAAAAGACATTTCAATCCCAATAGCAAACATTGCCAAAATATTTCCTTTTCTTTTCTTGTTTACTCACACTTGTTTTCACACAGATTCAGTTGAGCAGAAGGAGAAGTTGAGTTGGTAGCTGGGCAGTGACCCAAGAAATTTAAAGAAGGAAAAAGAAACTTGCCAGAGGATTTTTCCTGCTTGAATGTCTTCAGTCCTTGGCTGTATTGGTGACTGTGCACCAACTTAGACCTTCAGATGGAAGTAGGATGAAAGCTTGGGTGGAGTTTCTGTTCTTCCTATGAGCGTGAGGAGGGCAAAGGAGGAGGTACAGCAACAGCCAACAGCTGAGCAGTTTTTATGGCTTGGTTTTTGAACTCGTTTTTAATCCTGTGAAGGAAAAATACTTTGACTTCTCATCTAAAGTACAATTCTTTGCTGGCAACAACATTAGCTGTCGGTCAGTAACTCCAGCAAGATTATTTTAACTTGTCTCTGTCATTGTCAACAGTCTTGGAAGAATTAAATTTCTTCCTAATATCTAATATAAATAGCAAAATAGTTTATTATTTTTTAATACCTAAGATCAATGAGAATTAATGAATTAAAAGTAACTTGGTTCCATTTTCACCATGTACTGCACCATGCTCATTTAATAGATGGCTAAGGGTCTGTTTCATTGCTGGCACCAGTCATTTATGTTTTCTATCACTTTCTAGACAGGTTCACTTCTTAACTAGCTTGGCATTACAAAGTTAGGGATCACTACACGTTCAGTAATGTTCTTTTATAAGATTTAAGTCCCTGCCTATCTTTAAGTCTACATGAGATACCGGGAGAGATAATGATATGCCCCAGACTAGCCCCAAACAATATAGTAACACTGGCTGCCAGAAGTATTCCAATGACACTTTTGTGTCTAGTTCCCAGCTGTTGTAGTCATCCTGAAATGTTTGATTGCATCAGGAAAAGCTGTTCTTGGGCAAAAGGTAGATCACTGCAGCTGAACTCAAGAAAGTTTGAATGGATTGTGTGCATAAAGGAAAATTATTTTAAAACAGCATTGCTATCAGACATTGCTTCTGTCTTCTGGTAAAGGTATGCAAGCACCATGAGTTCTCAAGGTCCTTTTTGGTCATCCTTTGTAAGGTCTGGCAACATTTGTACCTAAAAGGCTTTCTGTAAGGCCATTTTTTAAAAGACATTTCATATATCCTAATCAAATGAGGATGTGGACATCCTTGCAGTAATCCTACCCTCATGTGGAGGGCTAGTCAGCATGATTAGAGGAGTCTAGAAAGTGTTCCAGCTGACAAATGTATGCTGACTTGCTCTGAACTGTATGGATTAGCTCTCCATTGACTGTAGGAGGAGCAGAGATTGTGTAGCTTGCAAAGACTCATATTTTAAGGCAGAGGTGAGAAGTGTGAATGTTCTGCCCCAGGGGTGAGGGGTGAAGTGAGAGTGAGCCATTGCAGGGCTCTTCTGGATCTCTACAAGAAAGGCCTGACAACAAATGGCTTAATGAAACAGTTGTTCTGATAAGACAGAATAAGAAGAGGAATATAGATAGTAAATCTTACACCCTTTCAGATACTGGGAACCTTGTGTTTGTGCAGCATCAGATAGAGCTCGGGTGGGTTTTTCCCAGAGCATACTGAGTAGGTCCTGTCTGTGGAGAGAAGCTCCTTCTTTTTGGTCATTCAAGCTATTATATAATTTTCTTACAAGAAAACAACTCTATTCATGAAGGGTGTTCACAGGAGAACTTCTTGTTGTCCTTTTAGACAAAGGCAAGGCCAGGCAGGAGGTGTGCCCACCAGTATCGAGTGGGAGCTGCCTGCAGGCCCCTGTTACAGTGAGCTGGCCGAGTTCATCCTGTGGCCAAACACAGGATAAACTGTGCAGTTGATTGATCTGTGCAGCACAACACAGGCTGCACCTGCTCAGGTTAACTGTGATGGGGATGTCTGACTCCTCGATGTACAGTGATCTCTGGGTCAGGATCACCACCTTCCACCCTTTGGTCCACATACAGGCAATGACTTCCCTCACACAAGTCATGGCACAGAGGTAGTGGGTCCCCACTGAGGCACTGTGAGAGTCAGTGAATTTCTTCAATGTTCCCTGTACTGTTTCAGGAAAAGTTCCGAAGAATTGGGAGACAAACCAAGAAAGAAAAGGGACTACTTGATTGGCTTTAAGCCAACCACTTGATCTTTTTCTGGCTCTGACACCAGGTTTTTCTTCTGAAGGCAGGCAACACCAGAACTAACAAATAACACAGAGCAAGCAGAGAATATATGGTTAAAGTGTAATACTTCTTCTGTGTGTGTTTTTTTTTTTTTTTTTTTTTGCATGTGACCATTTCTTTCAAGTTCTGTCATGGGAAGATTTGCCATTTTCCTTTCTGTATTAAGCCCGTGATGATTCTGTTTGTCCTTCTCACACCTGTACCTGGCAGTTCATTTGCTGGTTTGAAATTGTATTAATCCCCCTTTCAGTTACGCAACCATCCTGATAATGCAGTAATCCCCAAAGCACATCAGCTGGTGTGTCTCAACAAAGAAAAACCCAAGAGCTGCTTATCAAGTGGCTCTCTTTTATTGCAGCTGTGAATTTGAGTAGCCTGTGATCAGTGCACTGTGCCAGATAAGCTGGAGTGAGGTCAAAACCACTGCCTGCAGCTTTAAAACTGCTTTCAAAGTAGGCAACGGGTAATGGATTTCTACTGTTATGAAATAGGGAGGTGAGAGGTGAACTGGTCAGCCCAGGGACTGGGTTTCTGGGCAGGGACCATGATTTATTGAACCACTCTTAAAAAAAGAAAAGGCACTTTCTGCAAAGAGTTTCCTCCAGGTTTCCATTGACCATTTCCTGAGAGCAAACTGCCGACAGGCGTTTCCTCATGTAAAACACACTGGATTTATTTTATTTATTTTATTTTCAATTTTATTTTACATTGGTTGAAAACACTTAAATCTTTACGTGGAATTGAAAGCTACAGGTCACTCAATAAAAATAATAATGGGAAGAGACTGCTGGGTTCTCAAAGTATGGAAACAAGTGATGGTGAATCAGGAATATGGTTATCTGTCCTTGGAAGTATCCTTGCTCTATAACATTGTGAATTGGGGTAGTTAGTGTTGGGTTTTATGGTCACTGGGATTTGTGAAATCTACATCTGATCAGCAAAGTACAAAGGGAGAGTAGAGGTACCTTTATCTTACTTTTGTCATCTCACATCCTTAAATCTACACATGGTAAGCCAGTAAGTTTTCATTTATCATGATATGGTTATTGTCTAAGAGTCTCTCATTTAGTTCCAGGTAAAATTCTTTTTTCAGCACGCAGCAGTTTATAACAGTGACAGAGAGGTTCAGGAATATTATTGCCCGAGATAACCAAGTTGCTGGGCTGGCTGCTCAGAGTGGTGGCTGCTGGCCTGGGCTGGACTGGACTGCCTCCTCTTCTGGTCCGTGTCAGGATACAGCTTCCCTTTGGCACAGTGTCACCAGAGTTGTTTTGGGAATAATCGCACTTTTGCAATACCTTTAGTCAGTGGCATAGTTTTATTACCGTTTCATCTGATTTTTCCTTGGTGGGAACTGAAAACAGAAGTGCAGGTCCTGGAGGCCCCGAGGCATTGGTGGATCCAGGACTCCCCTGACACATGCTGCTTCTGTGCTTCAGGGCTAACCATGCCCACACCATACTGTTCTTGACATTAATATGACTGATTATATGAGCAGAGATATTCGAATGTTACTGACAAAAACATCTGAAGGGAGTTAAGCAAATCCATCACTATGTTGGACTCAAAACTAGAAAAAAGCAGATGAATAAAGACACAGTTTTCTTTTGTTAGCCCTCCAGACACTGGAGTCAGGTCTATGTTGGTTTTTTGTTGTTCTTCAAGTGAGATCTTTGAAATATCTTCTTTCATTCTTATTAAATATATCAGTTTTAGGTTTTCTAGCTTAAAAAAAAAAATGCAAAGGGATTATATAAGAAATAAAATATGTTTCCAATTACTATCTGAAGCTTTTATTTTTTTAAAAAATCATTAGTAAAACACTTCTTATTGAAGATAATTCTGCAGTGAGATCTCTGGCAAAAGCTTCTGTTTTATTAACTAATGGAAAGCCCTTATATTTCTATATTAGCCCTTTTTACTGTCCCTGCAATGAGTGTTTCAGGGAT